CCCGCACCCCCGCCCCAGGCTCGGGGGCCTCCCTGCCTGGAAGCTCCTCATTCTCACCTTCAAATTGGTCATGTAGCTCAGCATGTCTTCATCTTCCTCACTGATCACTGCCGACATCTCTGGATGGCGGGCCATCTGCCTGGGGTCAAGGAGCTCAACGCTCAGGTCTTAGGTGCCTCCAAGAGGTTCTGAGAGGAAAACAGAGGGAGAGGGAGACGGAGAGGGAAAAAGACACACACAGCAAGAGGGAGAAACCCTGAAAGTGGGGAGGGACGAGGATGACCGGCACAGAGGGAAGAAGGAGCGGGGTCTTAGGGAACAGTGTGAGAGAGCACTGGGGTCTACAGATAGACAGGCCTCGCCGGCTCCAGTCCCCGTCCTACGGCCCTGAGTTAATTCTGTCAGGTCAGCAGCGGCTTAGGTGGGTTCCCAGTCCCCAGCCCCAACCTGCCCCTCCTAACACCCTCTAACCTCCCTGAGGCCTGATAGCCTTTCTCTGTGTGCGCAGGGCCCACACAGAACCTGCTTAGTTCTCTGGCTACTGTGTGCCATCTCTGACTGAATTCGCCGCTCGTTCTGGCCCCTTTCCTGAGCAATGCGCACTAGCACCAGCAAGCACAAAGCTCCCCGTATCCACTGTCCCAGGAATTCCCCCGGAATCTTCCAGATACAGATGGAGGACCTGGCCTATTGGTCACACGGACCTCATTCCATGCCATAAACAGCCTGACTCCAGGTCCTCTCCCTCCAACTCAGCCCAGCGCCTCCCGCCCGCTGGGGCTGGCTGCACACACTGGCCCCCGCGGCCACCGTTCCAACGGGTCTCTAAGTGTGTGGCTTCCGCTCACCAATTTTTCTGACAGTAAATATTCTGACAGCGTACCAACCCTGCTTCTCATCCACGGCTTCCTTGGGTTCCACGCTCCCTGACCACCTCCAAGCCAACCGCTCCCCCCACCCCGCGCAACACCCAGCCCTGTCCCAGCCCTGTCCGCTGCGCTCTGCACACCAGCACAAACGGATACCGCTGTGGCCCAGAAGCCAGGGATGTCCTGGATGAGGAGACTCCTGCGCTTCAGGTGAGCCTTGCGCCTGTGCCTCTCTTTCTTGCCCAGGCTGCCAAAGTCCTTGCGGGCCTGGATAGTCACTGGTTGCGGATCCAGGCGGAGGGCTCGCAGTTGTTCCACAGGCGGGAGGGCTGAGGGGGGGTCACCTGCCGCTTCCGAGGCCGCTTCCGCTGACAACGCCGCCTGGGCTGGCTGTTTCTCCTCTTGCTTTTCCTGGCGCGGCTGTCTGAGGCCACCTGGCTTCCCCTTGGCCCGCTTCTCCCGCTCTGCTGGCTTCTTTGCCCCGCGCCCCTCTCCAACCAACCGCATGCCTGCGGGACCCAGCAAGGTCTCGCCCTCACGCAGCCTGGCCTCCTCCCCGCTCCCTGAGGGCTCCCGAGGCGATGCACGGGCCTCCGACTGGACCGCACTCTCCCCTGCTCCGCAGGCCCGTGGGGTCTGTGCTCTCGGAGCCTCCGCCTTGTGAACGCGGGCCCTAAGTCCAGGCGGGTGCACGGGTTCCCGCGGAGCCCGGCCTCTCCCGCGCCGCCCTCTCTCCGCCATAGAGCACGGCTCAACAGCAGGGGCAGCTGCAAGAGCACCGGAAGCTGAGAGCCAGCCCCAGCCAGAGCCTAGCCACAAGGGGGCCGCAGCCGCATTCCACCTGGACCTGGAGCCGCAGCCACAAGCAGAGCGCGAACCGGAGCCGCAGCCACACCCGCAGCCAGGCCGGCAGCCAGCGCAGCCCAGTCCCCTGAAGGCCTGGCAGTCCCAGGACCCTCTGAAGGGTTGGCCCTGCAAAGGGCGCCGCCTCCCGTGAGGCGAGTCCCAGACATGCGCAGGGCCACGCCTCACCCCCCCACGCCCCGCCGGGTCCTGCACCTTGCACAGTGCGCCCTCCAGGAAGGCTTCCCAGGGGGCGCCTGCAAACTTCCAGCCCGCCCCCTAGCGCTCAGCCTCAGCGGTGGCCAGGACACTCCCTGCACACCCTGTCAACAATCTGCG